ACTGATTGTTAGTGGGGGTTTGTATAGGAAGGCTGGACGCTATAATGTCTGTATGAGAAAGCCCGATCTTAATCTAGCTTACTAGCGATGTAAGAATTGTATGTGCATAGCATGTGGTGCTGGTATTTCTATTACCCTGTACCTATTATTTGTAAGAGTATAGTACACTTCAGTTCTGTTTGGAGATTTTTAACCTAAGTATCTTTATTGTAAGACAAGTAAAAAAGGAGAAACGGTCAATGTCGTGTTATCTGGTGAATGTAAATATACTGGAAAATTATATAAGTAACTGACATTTGTTTTATTTAAATCTGTTGCACCTGCTCTTGTTTAGTAACGTAAAATATGTCAGATAAAGTCGGGTGTACAGCAACTCATTTTCAGTTGTTAAGTGTACCTCTTTCCAGTGACAGAGCTCTTTATTTTTGAGGTTGTTTAAGTGAGAGAAGGTCCTGTAACTTAATGCAGTTTGATGGAAATTGTAAAGTTTAACGATTTTAATTTATTAGGAAAATAAAAATTTGCATTGAAGAAGAGCTGATTTTTGTTTGCATATGCCATCAATTATAGTTCTTAAAAAGAAAATCGGAAATCAGAATCGGCCAAGGAAAATGCAATCGGTGCATCTCTAATTCAAACTTTTTAGCTAGCTGGTCACTTGTGTCAAATTACATTAATAATATAAAGTCAAGGTAGTACATTACAGGAATATAATGCAGTATATATAGAATAAAAATACATAGTTGTATTTTGGATGTCACTGTTTACGTGTTTCTTGAAATGAATGTGAATGTAGTTAAGAGAATGTTTTCTCTGCGTATATATTGTGAGACTGAGGTTGAGTATGAGTTCAGCACATAGTGTGTGATGATATTAACACTGGCCCTATTTTTAAAGTCTGTTGGTAAATGTGCTGATAAACCAAGGCGCAGGCTAATTTCCCATCGCTAACTTAAGACCACTGTGCTGTAGTTGTATGAACTTGTCAATAGTCAACTTTGTTTTGGCAGTTTTTTTCTGGATTTAGTCAGTCAGATAGTTGTCAGAGTACCATCATGCTAACTTTTGGTCCATTTAGCAAATATTCTCATAAAAATGTATATTCATTTAGTAACTTGTAATTTTTCTCATTTGTGGAGTTTATTACATCACTGTCTTGCTGTTCCAGCCATAACTCCTTAAGGCCATTCATACATCACCTTTCTGCATGCGCTTTTGGTTGTGGACAAGGGGAAGTGACGTAAAATTGTCATCAGGGGATTGCTGCGGACAACTGCAGTCCCTGTACATGTAGCTCAGGTTTTTATGTGTAGTGGAAACCTTTCACATCTGTGTGCATCGATTGTGCAAGATTATTGATTAGGTATTTCCAGTAGGTGGCAGTGTGGACTTTCAATGATAAAAACGTCTGCGGGTCCTTGAGCAAGGCCCTTAACCCCCAGCTCCCTGGGCGCCCCAAAAGGTGGCCGCCCTTCGCAGACAGCTTACCCTACAAAGAGCAAGTTGAGGGAGGTGTAAAAAGAATTTCCCCACAGGGATAATAAAGGATCAATTATTATTATTATTATTATTGTTATTGTTATTATTATTATTATTATTATTATTAGAGGTCTTTATTGTCAGTATTACAGAAACAGTGAAACAGTTCAGCAGCTCACTGTTTAGCAGCATTAGTTAAAGTAATAAATTAGAGAAATAAGAACAACACATAGAGACAGCCAGCCTATTACAGTATGAGTGTCTGAGTGCAATGTGTACAATGTCAGTCCTAGGTAGTGTCTGCTTAATGACCTGCTCTAAGCTTAGTATTGCATAGAAGACAGTCATTCAGGGGGGTGAAGCTGCAGAGTGAAGGAAAACCTTTACTCTGAACATTAGAGAAGGCCATGCACACACACCAAGTATTAGGAAAGGTTTCAAACTTTCAACACACCAATGAGGAGCTGCCAATGATGGAGTAGAGAGAGAATAGTTGTTGTAGTGGTTATGGTGAGCGGCTGTTTGAGGAGGGTCTGAGGTACCCGCATACCTGATTTTTCATACTGTACAGACATTATACCGAGGTATTTCAAAAAACATTTAGGCATTTTGAAACCTTGGCCCTAAAATTCCCTAAGTGGGCTGGAGTCTCGCCTATTTTTGTCATAAGGATTTCAAAATACTGTGGTATTAGTCTACTTGAAAGTTTGGAGTGATTTCTGCAGACACTGCTTCTCAGTGAGTACCTTTCCTTATACTTGGTGTGTGTGCATGGCCTTCTCTAATGTTCAGAGTAAAAGTTTTTCTTCACTCTGCAGCTTCATCCACTGAGTCTGAAGAACCTCTTGATTCTTAGTATCAACACTCAGCAAAATAACCCCTCTGGTTTATTTTGTCTCTCTAGTGTGATTTGCACAGAGACATAATAAACATCTTTATTAAAAAAAATCACACTGCAGTTTTTGTGCATTGACATTTAATGTGAACTATGCATGCGAAAATTTATATATACTGCTGCTTTACTTTCATTTTTGTGAGGCCATTATAAATATCTTTAAATGTTCTGGGGACTTTTAAACAGTGTATTTTCCATAGGCGAACAAACCCTGAGTTAAAATGTTTTACTCTTACTATCCATAGAACATGCAATTTAGGTTAATGTATGACTGTTAATTGTTAGGGTTATCTATGACTGTGTTAGCTACATACGCGGGTGCTTTTCCTTAGGTCCTCTGTCTTTTGAATACACAGGAAATCCCAGAGGGCCACTGTATCATACAATAACAAACACATATTTACTACAGTACCCTTTCTCTTTCAGGGGTCAGCTGTGATGCATGTTTAAAAGGAAACTTCAGAGGCCGCCGATATAAGTGTTTAATTTGCTACGACTACGACTTGTGCGCATCATGCTATGAGAGCGGAGCCACGACCACCCGACACACTACGGAGCATCCCATGCAGTGTATACTGACCCGGGTAGATTTTGGTGAGTGCCCATGCAGTGTATACTGACCCGGGTAGATTTTGGTG